GCAATATCTTTACTAATACAGCTCCTAGGGCAGAGGTGGGCAACCCCTGGCACGTGTGCCAAACATGGCACGCCAGTAACTTTTGCTGGCATGCAAAACCCTCTCTTATAATCTTCCATTTACAATTTTTGTGAACATTTGAATGACTTAAATGTTAAATTACAAGGAACTGGCAAAACACTTGATGTGATGTTTGGTTACATAAAGGCTTTTGAAAAGAAATTGGAAGTCTTTAAGAGGGATGTGGATGGTGAGAGATTTAGATATTTCCCAAACCTCAAGAGGCACATCAAAGACCTCCCAAAAGATGACAGAACACACTGTCAAAGCCTTCAAAAGCTGTTTTTAAACATCATCGAGTCAACTATTGAGCAGTTCTTCTCAAGATTTGCGAAATTCAGAGAACTGGAAGAGACAGCAAAATTCATGAGGTTTCCAGACAGCATGAAACTGGAGGAACTGAACTTACAAATGTTTTCATGGATAGACATGGATGACTTTGAAATCCAGTTGATTGAATTTCAGAGTAGCTCAATTTAGAAGCAGAAATTTATTGACCTTAGAGTTGACTTGAAAAACATTGAAAAAAAGCGATTAGAGACAGGAGTACCAGAGAGAAGTGTTGAAAACGAACTATTGAGGACTTGGAATGCCATTCCAGAAAAATTTTTCTGTTTAAAAAACTGCAACAGCGTTACTCTCCATGTTTTCATCCACATACGCTTGTGAATCTTTGTTCTCAGTGATAAATTTTGTTAAGTCTCATAATAGGAGTAGCCTGACGGATGAAAGTAGTAGCCCGTACATATTTCTGAAGGTCATGAAATATAAACCCGATGTAAAATCTCTGTCATCAGTGATGCAGCAGCAAAAGTCCCACTGATAATATCAAGCGGAGTCATAAATTTTTCTGTCAGATTATCAGTGTACATGTATACATTTAAAAATAAATGTATTTTTCATCATTATATACTGTGTTTTTGTCTCTCGAATGAATTTTATTATTTCTTCAAGGTACTTCACATACGTACACCTTAAGAGATATCAAGTAGGCGTAACATGTTCTCAAAAAATTTAGGTTGGCATGCAGAAGAATTTTGAGTCAGAGATTTTGCTGGTTTTGGCATGCACTCGCAAAAAGGTTGCCCACCCCTGTCCTAGGGCAATGAAAACTAAAGAGAAAATAAACAAATAGGACTACATCAAAATAAAAAGCTTCTGCACAGAAAAAAAAAAATCAACAAAAACAACAAGAAAGCCCACTGCATGGGAGAACATATTTGCCAATGTTATCTCTTTTAAGGGTTTAATCCCCCACATTTACAGGGTACTCATACAACTTAACAAAAGGAAGATAAACAATCCAATAAAAAAAATGGGCAAAGGACCTAAATAGACACTTTTCAAAGGAGGACCTAAGGAAGGCCAAGAGACATATGAAAACATGCTCAAAGTCACTAATCATCTGAGAGATGCAAATCAAAATGAAAATGCGGTACCATGTCACACTGGTCAGAATGGCTATCATTAAGAAATCAACAAATGACAAGTGCTGGTGATGATGCAGAGAAAAAGGAACCCTCATGCACTGATGGTGGGAATGCAGACTGGTCCAGCCACTGTGGAGAACAGTATGAACTTTTTTCAAAAAGTTGAGAATGTAACTCTCATTTGACCCAGTGATCCCACTTTTAGGAATATATCCCAAGAAACTAGAAACAGCAATCACGAAGATTATATGCATCCCTATGTTCATAGCAGCACAATTTACCATAGCTAAGATTTGAAAACAGCCTAAGTGCCCATCAGCATATGAGTGGATTAAAAAAAACTGTGATACATCTACACAATGGAATACTGCACTGCTGTAAAAATGAAGGAATTCTTACCATTTGCAACAGCATGGATGGAACTGGAGAGCATGATGCTAAGTGAAATAAGCCAGTCAGAGAAAGATAAATATCACATGATCTCACTTATTTATGGAATATAATGAACAACATAAACTGGTGAAAACAGATCCAGAGACAGAGAATCATTGATCAGACCATCAAACCTCAGAAGGAAGGTAGGGGAGGGTGGGGGTAAGGGGGAGAGATCAACCAAAGGACTTGAATGCATGCATATAAGCCTAACCAATGGACACAGACACCAGGGGCTTGAGGACATGAGTTGGGGGTGGGAGGGCAATGGGGGGATAAGGACACATATGTAATACCTTAATCAATAAAGGAAAAAAAAATATCTTGCACCCAGCTGGTGTTGCTCAGTGGTTTTGTGTCAATCTATGAACCAGGAGATCACAGTTCTATTTTTTTGTCAGGTCACATGCTTGGGTGGGCTCAATCCCCAATGTGGGGTGTGCAGAAAGCAGCTGGTCAATGATTCTCTCTCATCATTGATGTTTCTCTCTTTCCCTCTCCTTTCCTCTCTGAAATAAATAAAAATATATTTTTAAAATATTTAAATAAATAAATGAATAAACAAACAAATAAACAAACTGTGGTACATCTACACAACGGAATACTACGCTGTTGTAAAAAAGAAGGAATTCTTACCATTTGCAACAGCATGGATGGAATTGGAAAGCATTATGCTAAGCGAAATAAGCCAGTCAGAGAAAGATAAATATCACATGATCTCACTCATTTGTGGACTATAATGAACAACATAAACTGATGAGCAAAAACTGATCTAGACAGAGAAGCATTGATCCAACCATCAAACCTCAGAGGGAAGGTAGGGGAGGATGGGAGTAAGAGGGAGAGGTCAACCAAAGGTCTCGTTTGCATGCATATAAGCCTAACCAATGGACACAGATACCAGGGGAGTGAGGGCATGAGTGTGTGTGTTGGGGGGGCAATGGGAGGATAAGGACACATATGTAATACCTTAATCAATCAATAAATAAAATATATAAAATTTAAAAAGAAAAGAAAAGAAAGCCCAATCTGAAGCAACAGCAAAAGTTATTGCTCCCACAGAAGTAAAGATGGCAATTAAATATGATTGTAATAGTGATCTGGGCAGATATAATTATCCCCATGTAACCGAAGTTGCCATCATACTCAGAAACAAAGATAGAGAACCTGCTTTTGAAAGGGACCTGCTGATTCATTGTAAACCAGATCCCAATAATTCGAATGCCACTAAAATGAAGCAAATCAGTATGCTGTTTCCTACATTAGATGCAATGATGTATCCTATTCTTTTTCCACATGGTGAACAAGGCTGGGGAATGGATATTGCATTAAGACTCAGAGATGTCATATATATATATATTATGCTAAGTGTCCATCCCGGTAATGACATCACATAGCATTGCCTGCTTCCTCTCCCTAGCGACCAGCGTCCTTTGAGTTTCTGCAGCCCAAGAACACAGGTGGAAACACTTTACACTGTAGCCAAATGTCTGTGACGTGTTTTCCCATGCCCCATGTCATTTGATCTTCACAGAAGTCTAGAGTATGTAGATAGGAGACGGTGGAATCCTATTTTCTTTTCATTAACCAGAAAATGGAGATTTAGAAAGCTTAGAAACTTGACCCAACTGAAAAGTAAGAAATGGTGGACCTTGAAAATGACTTCAGGTTTTCTCCCTGTGCAGAATATAGTCAAACACTGCTGCAGTTAAATATCTTAACCTTTGTTCTCCCTGCATGATCTACAATAATAATGTGCTTTGTGTTGATATTTACTGCTGTGTTGCTGACAATTACCTGATAGAGAAGTTGGGGTGCTTCACTGGGCTGCAAAAAGTTTAGCTAAGTCAGAAAGCAAGTCTAATTAAGCAAGTTTATTCTATATCTATAAAAGGTTAAGATGACTTGCACATGCGCAATACATATAAAGCTCTCTCTGGCGCCAATCACACGTGTGTGTTTCCATCTGTCATTGTCAATTCTGAATTTGGTTGACACTTCTATTATAGAGAAAAGGCAAATAGCGATATTAAAATATTTCTTCTAATTAATTCCCTTTCAATGTGCATGAATTCGTGCACTGCACTATTGTTATTTACAATAGTATATCTATCCACAGGATCTTAATCATCTGTTTAAAAAATGTTATATATAATACACATACATATAAATTTTCCTTTCATAGTGTAATTTAAGTCCCAATATTTAACTATTCTGACATTGAGTAGAAAATACCTCGTCATTAGCCTTAATTCATCAACCCTTTATCAACTTTTTTTCTTAACCTTTTCACAAGTTTCAGTTTTAATTGGCCTTAATATTATTGAGAAGGTATCATACAGGAACATATGTAGAATTATACTGAGACTCAAATTGTTTAAATTCAATGTATATCTTCCTTAAAATATAAAGATCATAATTGGGTATATTCTAGGGTTAATATACCATAACAAACAATGATTTTGTGGTATCTTATTAGTGATTTGTTTGATTTAAAACAATAAAAGCTTTACTGCTGCTTCTGATACTTGTGGTCAATTATGACATCCAGACCTTTCTTTGCATGTAGAACTGTTCTTGAAGTACAATGATTTGAAAAAAGCCCCCACAAATCTGTTTTAGAGGATCTGTGCTACTAATAACATTTTAGATAAAAAAGAGATTTTCTCCTAGTATAAAAAGAAGTCACACGGCTCAGATTCTTGTCCTTTTATCCATATCTTTCTGGCTTGCTGCCCTTTTTTAGTTATTTCCTTTCCCCTTTGTTATATGTTTTAAATTTCCCTAAGATCGCCACTGATATGTGTTTTAACTTGGTTTTACCTGGAAACAAATGATGGAAAGAAGTAGAGAGCACTCCCATTGTAATTTGCTCCAGACCTTGCCTGTTTTCTACTGATAAATAACCCATCATCAACTATCCCTTATTTGTGCAATTCAATCTTCTGATAACACTTCATTTTATTATTGCTGAATACTTCTTCAATCTCCCAAGCTTCTTTTTGTTTCTGCAATGCAATTCTCTTTTTGGTGTCTTTTGTAAATTTAGTTTACCTGACAAGTGAGTTTTGTGTTTACCTGGCCTTGATTAGGTTGAGAAAGTTTCATAGACGTATCAAAAGCATACGCATAATTATGCTGAGGTTGGAATCCTGATGAATCGCTTTGTTCTCTGGCAAGTTAAATAAGTAAAAACACGTAGTTAGTATAAAACGCTTGTTTAATTAGTCATAAATCACTTTTTTAAATGTATATCTTTATTGTTGAAAGTATTACAAATGTCCTCCCTTTGCCCCCCATTGACTCCCTCTACCCTGCTCCCACAATGCCCACCCCCCCCCAGGCCTTCACTGCATTTTTTTATAAACTCATTTTTGACCATACAGAATGAGTTCTCCCATCTTAAGACTCTGTTATTATATGTACCTGAGACAAAGCAATAATAAAGGCTACCATTTTTTGAATGATTTCCATGCTCAAAGTGTTTTCCCTAATTTATCCCAAACAATTTATTATGAAAATTTTCAAACCTATAGCAAAATTAAGTTTTACAGTGAATACCCATGAATCTACCACCTCAATTTTATCACTAATATTTTACTATACTTGCTTTAACATACATGTGTCCATCCATCCATCCCTGTATCCCTCCATTAATCCATCTTAGTTTTTTTATGCAATTGAAAGTACATTTTAAATATCAGTTTATTTCACAAAAATTATATTATCTTATTTAAATATTTAGGAAAAACCCTGCAAAATAAGTATTGTTAACTCCATTTTTGGAGATGAAAAAACCTGAGGCTGAAAAATTTTAAGGAAATTCCCCAAAGTGACACAGTCATTGACTTATAGGGCAGAGACTTGAGCCCCAGTTTGCCTAGCTCCATTATCATACTTTTTCCACTATACTAAGGAATCTCCCAGAATATATACACAATCACTTTGTCAATTCATAATTGACAGAGGGGAAAAGGGAGTTTAAACTAAATTATATTTTAACTGGAGGGAAATATTAGAAATAAGGCAGTTTAATTTTTATCCCAAAAGCCTATAAATAAGCCCAAACGCTTGTGAACACCACTATTATCCTGATTTATAATCAAGGCTTTTATTTTACCTTTGCTTCTCAATGCAGTTTTCCATTAATTGTTTTATTTGATTCTCATGTCTATAAAGAAGTAGGAATGTATAAAGGAGGAATCAGGGGCTAAGCAATTCATTCAAAGTCATAGCCATTTAGTAAAAGATAGATGATTAGAAAACAAATCCAATGTTCTAGAAAGCTTTTTACTAGAAAAGCTGTGGAGAATCCTAAAAAGGTGAATTGTTTACAGGTATGATTTCTAATTATAATAATTCTTTAAAATCTCAGGAGGTTTCTAACCTAAGTCAAAGGATAATATGAAATTCTCCACATTAATTACTTTATTTTTTATTAAATTTATTGGGGTAACATTGTTTAATACAATTATATAGGTTTCAAATGTACAATTCTACAATATATCAACTGTCCTATTCACCACCCCAAGTCAAGTCTTCCATCACCATGCTGATTAGCATTGATTTTATGCATATATACTTATGTACCACATTGCATTTTTTAAATATATTTTATTGATTTTTTACAGAGAGGAGGGGAGAGGGATAGAGAGTTAGAAACATCATGAGAAACATCGATCAGCCGCCTCCTGCACACCCCCTACCGGGGATGTGCCCGCAACCAAGGTACATGCCCTTGACCGGAATCAAACCTGGGATCTTTCAGTTCACAGGCCGATGCTCTATCCACCGAGCTAAACCAGCTAGGGCTACCACATTGCATTTTAAAGAGTATGGAATGATGGTACAAACAAAGGTTAGGATTTTGAAATGGCAGCAATGTTGGCTCCAAATATCTAAGACTGTTCAAACTGTTGATTTTATTATACTTTGTAAGCCTATTCTTAGAAGTGTGAGGCTTATATTACCAGCTACTTCCAATTTTAAATATTTCAAACTCTCCTCATACTGCATACAGTTTAACATTATCTTGTCACTGGAGAATGATACCTCAAAGTAGATGCTAATGTGAATTAACTGGCATAAAATTTATGAGATTTTACCCTACTGGCATTTACCCCTCATATCTCTATGGTTCTCAGGCAGCACAAAATATAAAGGGTATTGTTTGCTTTTAAGTAAAGAGACAAAGGGTATGCAACAGGGCTATGCAGCTTTCAAAGCAATGTTTTGTCTTATGAAATTCCATTCCTATAGCATGGGGGTTAAGGGTTTAGGCTTGGAGCCAGATTGTCTGGGTACATACTTAGCCCTTTAACCTCAGCCAAATTATTTAATCTGTGCTTTGGTACTATCATCTGTACTTTATAGGGTGCTGGTGAGGATTAAATGAATTAATAGGTATAAAACATTTATAATTCAACCTAGCATACATAATAAACCCTCAGTAAATGATTGTTGCTTTCAGTATTATTCTCATCATCTCTGTAAGGTGGGTAGGCCAGATTATATTCTATAGATGAGAAAATGGGAACCCAGTGACGTTAATCAATTTACCAAAGATAGAGTCATATTACAGTCAAGTCCGTTGGATTCCTCTTTGCATTTCTCTGACATTGTTGCTGGAGGTTGCGATTAATAGGAGGTACAGCAACCCCACCCTCCTCTAGGACAGTATGTGTGGTACACACAAATAGAAGGAAGACACTGTAGCAGGACAATTCTTTAGTTAATTACACTTGGGTTTTATCAGTTTTTTATGTATTCATATTCTGACCAAAATGGATTTGGTTACCTGGACCTTTTTGTTTGAACATAATTAAATGTTACGAATATGAAAAAGAATATACCAGGAGTATGCATGATAAATAATATCCATTATTTCTTGATTCACTTGCTGATCTCACAAGAGATTTCCCATCATTCTAGGAGGTATTTAGAAATTTCTTACCGTTCATCATCTATATTCTTCTTTGACTTCTTTTTACAGTAGTGGACAGTCTGGATTGTTACACCAACTATTAAAGCCAGTCCTATTCCAGGCAATGTTGCAACTAAAATCAGGTCCAGAGTATTCCAGAGTTGGTCACATTTGGCCCCCATATACCAATAATTTCCCCACCGACCTCTGAAATTTGGACATCTAGATAGGGATAATAGAAATAGAAAAAGCTCACAAATCAGAAAAATAATGTCTCCCCTGAAGGAATCAAACCTTTCATTTTTTACTAAACCATGAGGTTTCCCTTTAAGGACCTTAAGAAATTTATGTTGTCCCATTTTCCACTTGAGCAAACACTCTAAAACCTACAGGTTTGGACACATTTAGTAAGCATGACTGTCAGGCTTTCCCAGCCATTAGCTAATGAAGATGTGGCATGTAGCTAGAAATGAAAAGAAAAAGCCTCACCAAAAATGGCTGTCTCAAGACTGCTTTTAAAACTATTCACATTTTGCCTACTGCTCATACCTCACTTTACTTTAGCTACTTTAGTTCTGTAGTTCTGTGAGTGTTAGGAAAAAAATTTGAAACAGCCTAATCTACCAGTTATATAACTGTAGGTTATGATTTTCCCCCACCCACTCTTATAGCAATGAATGATGGTTAGCAAACTGCCTCTACCACTCTACAGCAAATACAAGAAGTAACATGAGAAGGTGAGACTAGATTGTCTGCCAGCAATATCTACCCCCATCATTCCCATGACTCCATATTTTCCTCCTCTATTTTATACAAATAAATGACTCATATAGAAATGTCTAGTGTTTTTATAAAGCCCTGATACTCTGCCAAATAACCTGAATGTAGTTCTCTGGTGAAAAGACTGAACTGGCATGGCATACACCCACATAGACATGTCTATGGGTTTGTGGAGAGGAATAATATGACTTCTCATCATCCTCCATGGGAGTGGCTAATGGTGAAGTTAGTTCTTGTAGTATCTTTAGAGATTGCTTAATTGTCTTCTATAGAATTGGTAATGGATTACCCAATTACAGCAAATGTCAGATCCTAAATAAGCTTCTCTTGGTTTGTATCATTCCAATATATTAAGGAGTACTGTCATGAATTACATGAAGGGATTGATTAGACAATTATCATAATATTTTATACCTCTGATAGTCTAGGATTCTATAAGAAAATAAATATACCAGCTTCAAATAGGTAGTAATCTACTCAGTAAGAAATGGTTTCTAAAATGTAACACAATGTCATTCATTTAAGGAGGTCAAAAATATTTAAAAATTTTTTTATCAATCCTCATGGATTTGTTCTTGGGAGGAAAGCCTTTCACAAGAATATGTTTCTTGTTTAGATTAGAAATGAATCACAAATGAATTGTTTATTAAGCAATAACATTCATTCATTTATTCGATAATATTTACTGTTTCAGGCATTTGAGATAGACCAGTGAACAAAGATCCATGTCCTAAAGCAGCTTAAATTGTAGCAGAGAAAGACAGACAACAAAAATAGGCATCATTAGTAAATTATCTAGGATGTTTAAAGGTGACAAGTGCTAAGGAAAAAAAGAAAAGGAGCAGGATAAGGGGATTGGCAATGGGGGACACAGATAGTAGGACAGGTTGCAGTGATATAATGGGGTAGCAAAGAGCAGGTCTCATTGACAAGTAATATTTGAAGGAACTCTGAGGAGGTGAGTGAGTTAGACAATAGCATATTTGGGGAGAAGAGAGCATTCCAACCAGCAGAAACAGCAAGCACAAAAGACTAAAGCAAGAGGGTGTGTGCCTGCATGTTGACGAACCCAAGGGAATCAGTGCTGCTGGAGCACAGTGAGTTAAGCGAATGTGGTAGAAGATAAAGCTGAGAAGGAAGGAGACAGATCACAAAATACCTTTGATTTTTACAATGAATAAAATGAGAAACAATTACAGGTTTTGGAGAAGAGTGATATGATTTAGGTTGTTTTGAAAGGATCACACTCTTTTCTACTGCATCGAAAACAGATTGTATGGGGACAAAGGTAGAAGCAGGGAGAAAGGTCACAAAGCTGTTCAGTAATGTAGGCAAGAGGTAAATAGAATAGCTTAAACCAGAATGATAACAGTGATGGTGAGGTAAGAAAAAAAAGGCTGATTTATACTTTTTTATTTTTAAGGCAAAACCAACAGTATTTCCTGATGGACAAGAATTAGAGTGTGCAAGAAAAAAAGAGGATTGATGATGACTTTCAAATTTTTGGCCTAAAGAAATGAAAGGATGGAGTTGTCATCAACTGAGATGGGAAAGACTATAGAAAGAACGTGTTTGGAGTGGTGGTGATGGAAGTTGCATAGTTCAGTCTTGTACTTGCTGATTTTGAAGTAGGTATTAGATATCAAAGTGGAGATGTTGAGTAGGCAGTTATATTTCTGAGTCAGGAGTTATAAATTTTCCCAGTTAGAATGGTATTTAAAGACATGAGACTGGATGAGATCACCAAGGGAATCAGTGAACAAAAATTGGAAGGAACAAAGATAGGTGAACAAAGAATGGAGGGAGAAGAGATAATGGAGATGAGGAACTAAGCCCTATGACACTCCAAAATTAAGTCCAAAATTAAGTCCAAAATTAAGTAAGTGGGGGACCAGAGAAGAGACTAGCAAAGGTAATTGAAAAGTGGACAGTGAGGCAGACGGAAGAAGTAAAAACAGGAGAGAGGGATATCCTGGAAGTCAAGTGAAAATTCAAAGAAGGGATAGTGATCAACTCTGTTAAATGCTGCTGATGTGTAAACTAAGATGAAGGTTGAAAACAGACTATTGGGCTTAACATCATAGAGGCTAGGGAGAAGAAAAGAATTAACTTTTTAGTGTACCTCTCAGCCAGTTACTATGTGATGAATTTTAAATATTTTATCTTATTTAATTCTCCTAGCATTCCTGGGGGAGGGGAAGTATATAAATGTTTTTCTTTCTATCATCAATGGGAAATAAAACCTTTAAATATGAATACATTTGAAATGTAATCTATATATTTTTTTCTCAATAACTAGTAAGTATGTGAGAAATGTGAACATTGATTAGGAGGTACATCAACTTTTCCAAATAAAAATAGATTTCTAGAAGAAACAATAGAATGGAGGTTGTTAGAGGCTGGGGAGGGGGCATGAGGAAATAGGGAATCATTTTTCAATGCTATAACATTTCTGTTAAGCATGATGAATAAGTTCTAGAGATCAGTTGTACAACCTAGTTCCTGCAGTTAATAATACAGAATTTTGTACTTTAAAATATGTTAAGGAAATAGACCTCATGTTAAGTGTTCTTATCTTTAAAAAAGGGGAAGAAATAAAAAAGAAGAAAAGAAAGAAAAGGTACCACAAACAAACACACGTAATGGATATGTTTAGTGCCTTGGCTGTGGTGATTCTGTCACTGGTGTATGCATATGTCCAAACTTATCAAGATGTATACATTAAGTGTGTGCAATTTTTGTATACTAATTATACCTCAACTAGAGGCCCAGTGCACAAAAATTTGTGCACTCAGGGGTGGTCCCTCAGCCCGGCCTGCGCCCATTCACAGTCCAGGACCCCTTGGGGGATGTCCACCTGTCGACTTAGTCCCACTCCCCGGGGGACCAGGCCTAAGCTTGCAGTCAGACATCCTTCTGGCAGCCAGGGAGCCCTCGGGGGATGTCTGACTAAAGCAGCCATGGGCAAACTATGGCCCGTGGGCCGGATCTGGCCCATTTGAAATGAATAAAACTATTGAAAAAAAAGACCGTACCATTTTATGTAATGATGTTTACTTTGAATTTATATTAGTTCACACAAACACTCCATCCATGCTTTTGTTCCGGCCCTCCGGTCCAGTTTAAGAACCCATTGTGGCCCTCGAGTCAAAAAGTTTGCCCACCCCTGAACTAAAGGCTTAGGCCCCCAAGGGATCGGGTCTAAACCGTTAGTTGGACATTCTTAGTGCTGCCACGGAGGTGGGAGAGGCTCCTGCCACCACCACTGTGCTGGCCAGCCATGAGCCAGCTTCTGGCTGAGTTGCACTCCCCATACGGAAGTGCACTGACCACCAGGGGGCAGCTCCTGCATTGAGCATCTGCCCCCTGGTGGCCAGTGTGCATCATAGCAACCAGTCATTCTGCCGTTCAGTCAATATGCATATTAGCCTTTTATTATTATTATATAGGATGTCCCTATTTCCCCCCCTTTGCTCCCTCTACCCAGCTCTTGCCCCCCACTTCTCTCTGGCCATCACCATACTGTTGTCTGTGTCCATGGGTTGTGCATATATTTTCTTTGGTTAATCCCTTCTTTAAATTCACTTCTTTAAATTTTTATTTTCAGATAAGTGCTTATAACTGCACTATTATATATTTTCTATTATATCATTTAGAATTAAGATATTTTTAATTGAACCCTTGTAAATTTTATATAATTTTAAAAATTATATATCAGGCATGTGCTCTTAGTTTGGCCAATTTTATTAAGTTGTCTCTCTTTGAACATTTTAAATTTGGCTTATGATTTTTTCATTTTCTATATGAATGAAACATTTGAAACATGTGTGTGAGAGAGAGATATTTGCCTGTAGGGATGTGGGTGGTGGTGGTATGTGTGTCCTTAGTTTCAGCAATGCCATTAAATTTATTAAATAATTTTAAAACTATTATTATATAATTTTGTTTCATATGTTTAATTCTGACTCGTTAGTACCTAATTCACAATGTCAAAATAACTGACCCAAACCCTGTGGTGTGGTGCTATATATATTTAGTAATAAAAATGGTCCCTTGCCATCAGATAGACATTCAAAGAATGTAATATATATAATGTACAGGTCAATTATGCTCCACACTGAAATCCATCAGTAAAATAAGTTGAAGTAACTTGTTTGAATCAACTTGATGGAGAAAATTTTCAAAACATGCATAATGTTAATGTGACAGGACAATTAACACTTGTAAAGATTTGTCAAACAAATGAGACAAATAATTATAATAAGTATTAGAAAGATAAAACATAATGTTGATTAGCTGCTTCCAATATTGGAATAATATTCTCAAAGGTTATCACCAACAACCCCTAAATGCTAAATCTAATGGCTTTTTATCACTTTTCATCTTCTTCAATATTCTTCCAATATTTTTCACTATTGATCAACCACTCCCATTGAAAGATTCATTCAGCAAATCATTGCAGAATACTTTCTATATGACAGGCATTGTGCTAGGTACTGAAGATAAATAAGACTAAATTATGTTTTTTGTAGCACTCTAAAAAATAAAACATATACCCTACACTCAAAGAAGTTGCAATAGAATGGGTTAAGTGCTATCTTAGCAGTATGATGGAGCTTAGTCTTGAAGGTTAAGTAGGAATGTATCAAGAGAAGTTGAGCTATGGTGAGAGGAGGAAAGGGGAAGGAAGAGTAACAGAGAGGTTATAGCATATGAACGGCCAAATGTGAGAGAGGAAGTAATGCACTTGAGGAACTGAAAATGCTGTCATTCAGTATGTCATGATGTGAAAACTATTTGCATTTTCACAAACACAAAATTCTCTCAAACCTCATTGTCTTTGCCCATATTGGTCCCTTTGCCTAAATGTGATTTTCTTACTATCAGTTTCCAAAATGCAGTTCAAGAGGCATGGACCCTGGAAAACCTTTCATATACACACTCTTTCTTATTCTTATATTACCTTTTTTCTTAGTCACTCTTCCAATTTTTTGACCTAACTACTCTAACTTTTATGGTTAGAACAAAGTAGAAAATTTACCTATCTTTAAAAAAATTATCTATGACTCAAAAATACACTCTTGTTAAAAAAAAAAAAAAAGTAAACCTGGAAGTGAAGAGGTCAGTCATAATGCATTTTAATTATTTCTTGAATTACAAAATTTTATTGATACCTAACAAGTTAGGATTATTGTCATTGCATAACATGAGACATACCTTGATTTTTCTTCTTCAGAACAGTAAAACAATTTAGTTACAAATGTATAATTTATCTGTAAAAAGTCTGACAAAAGCAGTTTTAAATAGTGCCAATCCCTTAAAGTTAATATATATTCTCTCAGTTAATCTCTTAAGTTATATATATTGTTTATAAAACAGTAGATAAAAATATTTTAGGTACTCAACAGCAACTGTGTTAAATGTGTAGGAGCCATTTCTGATTAAAATATTATTTTAAAACAAATATTGCATCTGTGGTTTATAGAAAACAAATACAAACTGAATTATTACTCACAATATATTGTGCTCACTCTGCTTTTACAGCATGTATAACCACTTACTTGCAAAAAGGTTCTCCATCTTTGCATGCACAAACAATATTCTTCGGACAGAAATCTGTTATATTCCCTGGACAATCATCAAAGTCAGTCACCGATGTACAATTGGCTGTAAATAACATTCAAACATCTCTCAGCAAATACAGAACAAATGTTTCGAAGTTGGCTAATACACATGTGAAAAGTTTTGCATGTTATAAAACTATTTTTGTTAAAGAGTTTTAAACTATGAAAAAGAACATAGCTATGTGGTACTTTGAGAATGTTCAAATACCACACTTCCAAGTACCAGTATCAAAAAAATCAAGATGAACAACAGACATGATCTCACTTATTATTTGAACTGATAGATTTCACAGCATGGCTTTAAAAACAGTCAATATACAGTATTATAGACAAAAGGACATCTAACATTTGAAATAAAGTTCTTTTGGACAAAATGTGCATATCATCTTTGGCTAAGGCAGTGGTCAGCAAACTGCAGCTCGCGAGCCACATGCGGCTCTTTGGCCCCTTGAGTGTGGCTCTTCCTAAGCCTTAGGAGTACCCTAATTAAGTTAATAACAATGTACCTACCTATATAGTTTAAGTTTAAAAAATTTGGCTCTCAAAAGAAATTTCAATCGCACTGTTGATATTTGGCTCTGTTGACTAATGAGTTTGCCAACCACTGGGCTAAGGGAAGATCAAATTATCTATCCAAAGACAGAGTCAACATAACCCTAGTTTGCTAGGACAGTTCTAGTTTATGCTTGTTTTCCTAGATTAATTATTAATACTTCTCTACTCTCAAAATGCTCCGGTTGACACAAATTAGTCACCTTACTAGTAGGCGACTGGGGATAGTAGGAACCTCAGCCTCAACTATTAATGACATTTTGATATTTATAAGGATATCCTGGAGAGTCATTCTACTAATGATAGGGCTGAAGTATCCCTCCCAGCATTGTGGACTAAGCAAATGTTTTCTAGAGTTGGAAAATTAGTGAGTAGAAAAATTTATTAGAAGTTACAGGACCTATTAACATGCACAGAAACTATAAATTCAAGTAAGGGTGAAATATTTTGACCCTCTGTCAGCTTAAACACAGAGAAGAGATTCAATAGAGTGAGATTTAACATTGCCTGAATCCCAAGCCTCTGAGTATATGTTTGGAGTTGGAGGTGGCTGGAAAGAAGGGAAAAGGTCTATAGAATCCAAAGGAAAACTGCACTTTGGAGAACATGTATTTCCTAACGTAAAACATGACACACTGATTTTGCTACATACACATATTTGAGGAAAAAAATGGAAGGGTTATATTAGAAAACATAATAGCATTTTTAAGTGAAAACACAATACAGTACTTTAAAACAATTTTAATAACTCTATCCTTTGAATATGGAAACAACTTTAGTTGACGAAAATGGTCCACTGACTACCCAACCTCACAAAAATCCTTCACCATAATTAGTGGATCTAATAGTGCTGCTTGGAGAAATTTAAATCACATCTGTTTTCAATAGGCAGTGTTTAGAAAAAGAATTGTACTTCTTGGCTTGGCAAATATTTTAGGCTATGCTTCATATTAGTAGACATGTGATTTGAACATATTGCAAAGTGAAAATTTTCTGATAAATTAAGTACAACCTCTATATGTTATTAAAAACAAAGTGCTTTTAAATATAGTCTAAAACAATCACTAATATTGACACAAATAAAACTTTTAGCTGGTAGCTCATAGACGTTTTTATATTTATCTCAGAGATCAGAGACAGACATGATAGCTTCAAGAGAAAACAATTATTTATCACATAAAAATAAACACCTTTAAAAAATAAGATACTTTCAGGTTTATAAATGTTTAGCAAAAAAGCCTTTGCTTGGATTACTGTCTAGTCCCTTAGGCTGCCTCCCCATGGCCTTGATTCCCTCTCTAATTAAAATCTAATTACTTACATATTCACCCTATAGAAATAAAACAATTTAAAATTTTCTTACGTTGTGCACAATGTACAGTCAGAAAACAGCAGTAGATGAACAGAATTTGAGTCCATATAAACTTGTAATCCATCATAGTGGAAGCAAGACAGAAACACAGGCAGTCCTAACAAGTGCAATTATGAGAAGTAATCATCCAACAGATTATAGGTGGTTTATATTGGAGATAAGTGACTGTGGATTTTGAACTTTTTCTTTCCAGCCTATACAAATTACTGGTTAACTTTTTGATTGTGCACTTGATTGTAGATTTGCTTCCTCAAATCTACAGTTCCTATATATAGACCATATATAACTTGCATACTGCTTAAGTTTAGACCCAGCTATTTGTTTTTATAAGAACTATTTGTTAGTCATTGTATTAGGTTTCATAATTTTCCAAAAACCCACACCTTATGCTATGCCATGAGTGCAGTTTTCAATCCAGTTCAAAATCAGAGATCTCCATGCTGTCTCAAAGGGTAAGATTTCCTTCTTTTTTTATAGCCAGGTAGTATTCCATTATGTAAATGTACCAGATTTTTATCCTCTCATCTTCTGCTGGAACCTTGAGCTGCTTCCAAATCTTGGCTATCTATATATATATAAAAGCCTAAGCGACCGTCACAACTGAAACAACCAAACGGACAACCGAACAGGCTGTGTGGGGTGATCAGGCTGGTAGGGGGGTTAGTGAGGGATGACCAAATGACTGAACAAGCAGGCTGTGTGGGGAAACCAGTGCAGGGGGGTTAGTGAGGGATGACCAAACAACTGAACAAGCAGGCTGCGTGGGGTGACCAGGCCGGCAGGAGGGGCAGTTAGGGGCAAAAAAACAACTGAACAGCAGGCTGAGTGGGGCAACCAGGCTGGCAGGGGGGTTAGTGAGGGGCAACTAGGCTGGAAGGGGGGCCAATTGGGGGTGACCAGGCCAGCGGGAGGGGCAGTTGGGGGCAACCAGGCTGGCAGGGGGGCCAGTTGGTGGTGACCAGGCCAGCGGGAGGGGCAGTTAGGGGCAATCAGGCAGGCAGGCAGTTGAGCAGTTAGGAGCCGGTGGTCCCAGATTGTGAGAGGGATGTCCGACTGCCAGTTTAGGCCCAATGCTGGGAAAGTTCTTGCCCTACGGCTGCTTGTGCACAAGAGGGTGTCAGGGAGCTGGGGGCAGGGTGGCACACGAGGACACCAGGAAAGCTCCTGCCCAGCTGGTGCGCATACACAGGTGCCAAGGAGCTGGGGTCCGGGCAGAGCGCGGATGCTGGGGAGGTGGGGGTGGGGCAGTGTGCGCAGAAGCCAGGGGAAGCTCCAGCCCTGCTGAGTGTGTGCATGGGCACCTGCGGAGGTTCTCACTCTGCAGCCGCTTGCGCACACACTGGCGCCAAAAGGATTGTGTCCCTGGGACAGGCATCCTCAGGAGCCAGGCCACCCCGAGCCTGTAGGCCCACACCAAGGCCTGGAGTGGCTGGGGTCCTGGAACGTGACAGAGGGTGCTTGTTGGGCTGAGGGAACTACCCCCCTAGTGCACGAATTTCATCCACCAGGCCCCTAGTATCCTATCTAATAAAAGACAAAAAGGGTAATTAACTGTACCTCCACTACGCTTTTCATTGGCTAATCAGGGCGAAATGCAAATTAACTGCCAAGAAAGATGGCGGTAACTGCCAACAAAGATGACGGTTAATTTGCATAAGTGCAATGATGGGAGGCGAAAGGGGAAAGACAGAAGAATGGTGATCGGCAACCCAGGCAGCAGGCAAGAGCTGGGGGCCGGGAAAAGGCCGCCTTTCCCCAACCCCCAGCCGGTGATCACCATCGGAAAGCCGGGCAACAGGTCAGGCGGCAACCTGGACCCCCGGGGGCTGGGATTGCTAGCTGGCCTGCGGCCCCGTGATCACCATGGCGATCAGAGGGAGGGAGAGCCGGGGCGCAGGCCAGGTGGAAACCCCGGACCCCTGGGTGCCAGGGTTGCTAGCTGGCCTGCAGCCTCATGATCACCATGGCAATTGGAGGGCGGGAGAGCCGGGGCATAGGGCAGGCGGCACCCGGGCACCCCAGCACCTGACATGCAAAGGTCGGGGATGAAATGACTTTTCCCAACCACATCTTGGAAGGCATCACTGAAGAGTTCACAACTGTCTTACTTGGCAAGGAAGAAAAAAGTTGGCAACGGAAACAATCCCTTACATCAAAGTTAAGGTCCCTCTGAGTAAAAAAGAATATTTCCAATGTAAAGGAGGGAGCAGGCAAAAATAATAGGTTCTCATGACTTCCACTGAAGATTGAGGATATGACAGAGTCAAAACGAACATACAAATTAAAACAGACAGTGGACATTCAAATGACCTGAATCAACTGTCACTGTTTGTCCCAATAGCAGCAATGCTTATGTGATAATATAGTTTAACAGACATACAAAACAAGTCACATGATAAGAGAGGTTTGGCTTCTAAAGTAAATTGAATATGTTCTTTTAAAATTCTAATGTCCTTCCCTCTGACTATAATTCTTAATTTTCCAATCAGAAAATTACCCCAGGTGATCCAGTAACATGTAGAGCTCCAGTAACCTAACTTATTTAAAAAAACAAACATCCCAACCATTTTTAAAATATTTAAATTGATATTTTAGGATTAAAATTATAGAAGGTATTTAGATCCAAATATATTTTCTGAATAGAAAATATTTCAGTTTTTGATTTAAAAAATAAACATAAAAATATATAAGTAATACATTTTCCCAAGGAACTCTGAATTAGTACCTTTCCCTCTAACTTTTTTCAAATTGAGAGAATCTGTGGAGTCCCCTATACTGCACAAGTTTTAATGAAAGAAAATAAGACTTTCTAAGAGCATCAAATACATGTTTTCTTATTTACAAACATATACACTCTTCTCTCTCTTTCTCTCTCTCTCTTTAAAATATATTCTTACTGATTCAGAGAGGAAGAGGGAGAGAGATAGAAACATCAATGATGAGAGAGAATCATTGATCAGCTGCCTCCTACACACCCCGTACTGGGGATCAGGCCAAAACCTGGGCATGTGGCCTGATCTGGAATCAAACTGTGACTTCCTGGTTCATAGGTTGATGCTAAACCACTGAGTCACACCCGCTGGGCTCAATTCTTATTTATAAATTCATTCCAAGGACATATATAGCTTTAAAAGCTTTGGAAGCAGTTTCAAAAAAAACTAGCTTTTAAGTAACAAGAAAAGAGTTATAGAAGAAAGTTTAAATTAAAAGAAAAAAATTGTTTTAATTTATTCAAGAGTGGGAACATCCTCCATGAAAATGAGTACCTTGACTGTGGATGGCTGGGTGGCCTTATCACACCTTAGGAATTCAAATGCTTTTTACAATGACAAGAAAGAGAGTTTCATCTCATTTCTCTACCAGGGTAGATGTCTGTCAACAGAAGGTGTACATCAATAAAAGGAGGGGCTTGCACAATCAATCCAGAAAGTCAGCAATCTATGAATAATCCAGAACCCAGTATTTATCACCTCTGCCACACACCCTCCCTCCCAGCCAGTGAGCAAGATAATTACCCTCAAGTCAAGCTAAGTGCCCCCCAGTCACAGTGGCCCAATGCTGACATACAAAGCATACAAATAATTCTCACTCTGGCATAAAAGTGACAACTTTCTTGGAAGAAAAGCAGATACTGTAAATTTCTCAAAGTCTTCCTGAAACATTTTTTAAAGTAATTTTTACTTCTTTAGAAAAAATGCATACATGGCAAAACATCTGTAATAAAAGGCCCATTCTATAAAATTTTACCTGGTCCTACTCATATCTACAATCATAATCATATTTACAGACAAATATATCTATACTAACAAAAGAGTAATGTGCTAATTAGACTGGGAGACCTTCCAGGAGACCTTCCAGATGTTCTTCTGGACAAAGCCATGGTGGCGGGGCCGAGATAGAGGCAGTTAGAGGCCAAGAAGGGAGGGCAGTTGTGGGTGATCAGGCTGGTGGGGGGTGGGGCTGTTGGGGGTAAGCAGACCAGCAGGGGGGACAGTTGGAGGCAAGCAGGCCATCAGTGGGGGTCAGTTAGAGGTGATCAGGACAGCAGGGGGGCAGTTTGGAGTGAGCAGGCCAGCAGGGGGACAGTTGGGGATGAGCAGGCCAGTGGGGATGGAAGGTAGGGGCGAGCAGGGGGGGCAGTTTGGGGTGATCAGGCTGGTGGGGGGGCATTTGGGGGCAAGCACGCCGGCAGCGGGGGGGAGGGCAGTTGGGGGTGAGCAGGCTGGCAGGCAGAGTGGTTAGAGGCAATCAGGCAGGCAGGCAGGCAGGTGAGCGGTTAGGAGCCAGCAGACCTGGATTATGAGAGGGATGTCCGACTACTGGTTTAAGCCCAATCCCTGTAAACTGGCAGGACATTTTTCGAGGGGTCCCAAATTGGAGAGGGTGCAGGCCAGGCTGAGGAACACATCCTCCCCCGTGCACGAATTTCGTGCACCAGGCCACTAGTCCTATCTAATAAAAGAGAAACATGGTAATTAGCATACGACCGCTACCCTTCCCATTGGCTAATCAGGGTGATATGCAAATTAACTGCCAGCCAAAATGGCAGCCGGCAGCCAGGCAGCTTGAAACTAACATGAGGCTTGCTTGCTTCAGTGACAGAGGACTCCAACGTTCCCCGCCTGCCTTGCCAGCCTATGAGCTTGCAGTTTAAGAAACATTGTTACAAATATAGAAGCTAAACAAAACTCCAGAAACCTGCTTTCAGCGAGCCCGGGATCTCAGAGCTGGAGTTGATACAGAGTTTCGATTATAGAACCGAAACAAACCAGATACCTGTTTTCAGCAGCAGAGCCCTCAGAACTGGAGCCTCAGAGCTAAAGCTGGCCCAGAATAAAAAAGAAAAGAAAAAAAGGAGCAGTTGGGAGCTTCAGTCACCCATCAGCCTGAAAACAGCCCTCAGCCCCTCACCCAGACTGGCCAGGCACCCCAGTGGGGACCCCCACCCTGAAGGGTGTGTGACCAGCTGCAAACAGCCCTCAGCCCCTCACCCAGGCTGGCCAGGCACCTCAGTTGGGACCCCTCACCCTGAAGGGTGTGTGACCAGCTGCAAACAGCCATCAT